ATACTATTATCAAAATAAATATATTTTTACTTAATTCCCTCACTAACAATCCCAGCAATGCTAGGTGGCCACAAATTTTGTGGCTCAAATGGTCCAAAACTGCCAAAACGACGTCGTTTTAGGTGCAAAACGACGTCGTTTTGACAGTTTCGGACCATTTGAGCCACAGAATTTGTAGCCCTTAAACATTTTTCCTAACAATCCCCACATTAACAATCTCTTCAATAACTATCCTCTCACTAACAATCTCATCCAACCTAATCCGCCAAACAAACGTGGCCTAAGAGCATCAGCATCGGTAAAATCGTTGCTTAGCTAAACTAGCAATATAAATTTCAAAAAACGACCTCTATCAGTCTCGCTTACAGCTCGTTAAAATTTGTGATTGCTATAGTATCTTGCTACAATAAGCGAAGTACTGTTCATCGCTACTTGTGTGTTACCGGATGTTCGCCTGGTCAACATCAATTTTTTTTAATACATTTTCTCCAATTTTACCTTTACAAAGGAACATAAGAATTGTTTGGCTGCCAGCTCATTAATTTAATAAAAAAAAGAATAACAAATATTTTAATAGGATTGAGTTAGAATAGAGAGTTTGATGCAGTAGAGTGACTAACTAAGCCTCATTTGGAAACATGCTAATTTAGTAACTTTTTGACTATTTGGCTAAAATATGAGCTAAAAAAAACTAGTATGTTTAGGATGATTTTTTGACTTTTTACGAAAAGATGTGCAAAAAGTAGAAAGAAAAGAGAATCTTTGACTTTTTGGTATAGATTGTTAGCTTTTTGGCTAATTTAGTAACTTTTTGACTTTTTAGCTAAAATGAATGATTCCCAAACGAGGCCTAAACTAGAAAAATGACTTTTTATGTTATAATTTAACTAAATATTTGAAAAAATTGATATAAATTCTCTAAAACATTTTCCAATACATAAATCGAAGTACCAAATAAAATCATAACATTTCCTTGAAAAATTAAAACTGCCATCAAGCAACCATTGCTCAATACTGTTCAACAATTGAACAGCGAGAAAAAAAAAATATATATATTTTCAACACTAAACCAACTAATACTATAATGCAACAAAAGTCAAGGTTACATCAGATTTGCAACATATCTACAAAATAAAAATTTAATAAATAAAATTCAACTCTATTCTAAACTGGAACCGTGACCTTGAACCTATGAACCAAATTGAGCATTAAAAAAATAAATCAAATCGTATGATATGATATAAATTAGATTGATTTGTAATTTTATTTCTTATTTTTATTTATTTTTTCTTTTTTCTGCTCAGCGCTACTTGAATCCACATTTCACCCCGAGAGAGAGTGAACGCAGGGAAGGGAAACGTATTAAGCCACATGCTCTAAAATGTGGTATGATGGGGGTAAACTTGTATATATTATACTTGAGAATTTAAGGAATTTCTAGAGTAATTTTTTTTTTTTTTAACTATTAGACATCCAAAAAATTTAATATTTTCTATGAGCATTATGACCCCCCTTTTTTTTTTGTTGATATTTTTGTCTTGTCAAAACTTAACTCACCTTAGATTTGAATTCATTATATTTGATTTTTTTCTTCCTAAGGTAACATTCAAGGATATATATTGAAAAAAACTTTTGGAATCGCTTTGGATCACTAAAATTACCGTTTTAGAATGGAAATGTAACCATGTTTCGAAACGTGTGTACCAATATGTAATTTAGTAAGATATTAATGTTTTCTGGTAACATATATCTGGTTAGCCAGGAACCAAATAGTTTTTCAGAATTTGCAACCTAATTGGGATTCCATCCTCAATCTTATAAAGATAAGAGTGGCATTTTGCATCAAGGCAAAAACAACTCTCATGGAGTATTTATTAATGACTTTGTCTACCATTTGCAGCAAATTAGATTGGGCTCTTCGTGATTCTGTTTTTGGCTTATTTAGATTTTGGTGTGGAATATGCTTTGTTTTTGGTGTCGGGTAGTGAAGACTTCCGTTGCCTTTTGCCTTTTGCCTGCTGCTGCAAGTATGGACAATTAGGGATTAATGGGCTGCTTGTTTGGCCGCATAAAGGATGGGAATGGATTGGGTATGAGATGGGGTCCACCAATGGCATGTTTGGTTTGGGCATAGGATTGAGACTCAGGGTTGGTTTGGAGTGTCCTAAAAAAATATATTTTTTGTCTTTTTACAAAAAGATGTGTAGAAAAGTAGAGAGGTGATGTGATGAAAAAAAGATAAAAAGATAAAAAGATGGATTATATAGTGTACCCCAAACCAACCTTCAATGTGGATTACTAATCCCCCTATGTGGGTGGATTAGGTTGGTTGGATTTTGGATGAGATTAAAAAAATAATAAGTGGATTGAGTTTATTTTATATAAAAATGTTATTTTTTTAATTTTATTTTTTTTAATCAAATGCACCTGTTTATTTTAATATTTGTTTTAGTTTTTTTAATCTATAAATAATTTATTTATTTATTTTATATAAAAATAATTTAACAATCCCATCACTAACTATCTTCAATACCATCATCAAAATAAATACATTTTTACTTAATTCCCTCACTAACAATCCCCACATTAACAATCTCTTCAATAACTATCCTCTCACTAACAATCTCATCCAACCTAATCCGCCAAACAAACGTGGCCTAAGAGCATCAGCATCGGTAAAATCGTTGCTTAGCTAAACTGACAATATAAATTTCAAAAAACGACCTCTATCAGTCTCGCTTACAGCACGTCAAAATTTGTGATTGCTATAGTATCTCGCTACAATAACCGAGGTACTGTTCATCGTTACTTGTGTGTTACCGGATGTTCGCCTGGTCAACATCAAATTTTTTTTTTTTTATACATTTTCTCCAATTTTACCTTTACAAAGAAACATAAGAATTGTTTGGCTGACAGTTCATTAATTTAATAAAAAAAAAAACAAATATTTTAATAGGATTGAGTTAGAATAGAGAGTTTGATGCAGTGGAGTGACTAACTAGGCCTCATTTGAGAACAAGTTAATTTAGTAACTTTTTGACTATTTGGCTAAAATATGAGCTAAAAAAATAATATGTTTGGGATGATTTTTTAGTTTTTTAAGAAAAGATGTGCAAAAAGTAGAGAGAAAAGAGAATCTTTGACTTTTTGGTATAGGTTGTTGGCTTTTTGACTAATTTAATAACTTTTTGACTTTTTAGCTAAAATGGATGGTTCCCAAACCTAAACTAGAAAAATGACTTTTTATGTTATAATTTAACTACTCCCTCCGTCCCAAAATATTAGTCCCTTATTCCATTTTTCATTGTCCCAAAATATTAGTCCCTCTTCAAAAATCAAGTACAAAAATAATATAAATTTCCTATTTTACCCTTCTTTTAAATTAATAAACAACATAAAAAGTACAATTATGCATTGATATTCCCAAAAAATGTACTATCAAAAGGATAATTTTGAAAAATTAACTTTTTTCAAATGCAATAATTGTACTACCAAAAAAAGTTGGATTCCCCAAAAGAGACCATTATTTTGGGATGGAAGGAGTAAAAATTTGAAGACATTGATATAAATGCTCTAAAACATTTTCCAATACATAAATCAAAGGACCAAATAAAATCATGACATTTTCTTGAAAAATTAAAACTGCCATCAAGCAACCATTGCTCAATACTGTTCAACAATTGAACAACAAGAAAAAAAATATATATATATTTTCAACACTAAACCAACTAATACTATCATGCAACAAAAGTCAAGGTTACATCAGATTTGCAACATATCTACAAAATAAAAATTTAATAAATAAAATTCAACTCTATTCTAAACTGGAACCGTGACCTTGAACCTATGAACCAAATTGAGCATTAAAAAAATAAATCAAATCGTATGATATGATATAAATTAGATTGATTTGTAATTTTATTTCTTATTTTTATTTTTTTTCTTTTTTCTGCTCAGCGCTACTTGAATCCACATTTCACCCCGAGAGAGAGTGAACGCAATTTCAATGGAATTTTTTTTTAAAGAGCAATACTAACACTCTAAAATATTTTACCTAGCATTCACATTGATACAAGACTCATACACGTGAGTATTCTATAAAAAAAAATAAAAAAAATGACAATTTTTTTGAGATTTCTAATAATTTATTATTTATTTATGTATTTATTTTCTTTAAACCACCTGACATTTCTGTTTACAACATATGGGTGCTCTCGGAAGTGCATTTTTGGCCTTTTTTATTTTGGCTTATTTTCATCTTTAGGTCTAAACATATTTTTTTAATAATTTTTTGACATTTTAGTTAAAATATGATGCAAAAAAATTAATATATTTGGATAACATTTTAGTTTTTTACAAAAAAAATGTGCAAAAAATAGAGAGAAAAATGAATCTTTGACTTTTTTATATAAGTTGTTGAGTTTTTAGTTTTTTTTAGTGACTTTTTGACTTTGAAATTAAAAAGTGATGTTACCAAACGAAACCAGTAAACTTTTTAAAAAAATTTCAAAAACCTTTAGATTTCTAAATTCAACTTGACAAGATAAATTGAAAAGTTATAATTTTTTTAAAAAATCTAAAAAAATTCAGAAAAGACAAAAATAAAGTAATTTTTTTTTTTGACTTTTTTCGTCTTCAGTGATAGTACTAAAGACCAAAAAATTCAAAAAAAAATATTTTTTATTTTTTTATTTTTTTCCTGCCTAAAGAAGGTCTCAGTCTGTGGGACCTTGGGAATGAAATCCAATGGCTCATTGCCTGTGAAGTCCATGTTCGTAAAGCAAATCAACTACTCTGAAAATGGAGACAAATATCTGTGCAAAAAACAAGCTTCGTGAAAACTTGAAGCCAATGGTTTCACATCCAGCAGTTTTAATTACTAAAACTTTTCAGTGTTCCAAGAAAAAAGAGATCTCAAAAAACCAATGGGCCACATCCAAAACCAAGCTCAAAAAGTACCACTCCCAATCCACTCAATGAATATCAACACATTCTCCACCCATGTATATATATATATACACTAAACCCAACCCTTCATATATTCATTCATCAATATTCTCTTTGAAGTTTATTGGGGGTACAAGTGATATACATATAGAAGAACAAGAAATGGAGGCCTTGCAATCTTGGGTTTCAGAACACAAGCTCACTAGCATTGGTCAGTGTCAAATTCTCTCTGTTTCTATTTTTCTCTTACTATTATTATCTATTTTCTTCAACTACTTGCTAGTTATTAGTTGTAGTCACTGATACTAAAATCTTCAAAATGGTTTTGTTTACATATTTACAAATTTACATTGGTTAAAAATAGTGAGTTTCCTACCCATTGACCCATCTAAAATTATGTTTTGTTTACTCATTTTGAAAATGTAGGGATAAAATCAAACTCTTAAATCTTCGAACCCCCTTAAAAAAAAAAAAAAGGAAAAGCTTCTTTCCGGTCTACATTTCAATTAGAAAGGCGACATTCGGACTTGTAGGATTCACTACAGATCTTATTTTGATAATTTAGATTTTTTTAAAATTCTTCGTGTATATCATATGTGGAAAAAATTAGATTGATCCGATTATAGTAATAGCTTCATTTTATTATATTTGTCATTAAAAATATAAACACAAGTCTATTTTAAAAATAGATCATTTATTTCTTTTAAGATAAAATGTGATAAAATAAAAATTTATAATTATTAGATCGATTTAATTTTTTATAAAAAATATACACAAAAAATTTTAAAAAATAAATTGTTCTGATTACCGAAACAGAAACATAATAAGCCCCACGAATCTGGGCAAATTCTGCAATCCAGATAAAAACAAGAAAGAAGCCACTCCCAACAAATAAAAAACAAAAATAATAATAAATAAACAAATAAAAATAAAAATAAAAATGAAAATGAAATGGGTTTTTACTTTTTTTTAACAGGAACACTATGGGCATCGGGGATTGGAGCATCACTGGCTTATTCACGTGCAAAAACTCCCCTTAAGCCCAGTCTTAGGCTCATTCATGCACGGTATATACCCTTTAACATCTCTTTTTTGCTTTTTAATTACTTAAGAACTGTTTGATTTTTGTACTGGTAATATTATTTTTTCTTTTTCTTAATCACAAGATCTTAGTGACTTTGTTGCACCTTCAAGTATGTTCTCATTCAAATTCAGCATCAAAATATACTTTAGTGGTAACAATTAATACTTTAAAAGATAAATGTCTTTAATACATCTAAAAATAAATTCTATTACTTACACATCTTTTTCATTTTTTACGACTTATTGAATATATATATAAAACATTTTTGTAAAAAATGTTGAAAGTGTTGTGTATTGTTGGCACAGGATGCATGCACAGGCCTTGACGTTGGCAGTGTTGTCGGGTGCGGCGGTGTACCACTATTATGAGAAGCGCCTTGGCGAGCCATCGGAAAAATAATGAGGGCATCTGTGAATGAACTTAGGCCATGCCATGGCTAAGCGTTTTATCCAGCTAGCTATAGGAGCTCAGCAACTGATAGTGTTATCAATGTTCTATTTACTATTAACTATGTTCCATGTTGTATTGGTCAGGTTTTAATTAAGTCATATAAATAAATGTTTTGGGTGTTTTATCTTTAATTTTAGTACTTGTCGCAAAACTCAGCACTATGTTTCCTTCCCTCATGGAGCTATTTTTGTTTCAATATAATCTCAATTATAATTAGTTACGGGTGACACGTGTGTAACTCAAATAAATAAGAATAAAAAAAGTAATAATGAAATTAATATTAAAATGTATACTTAGTTTAAGTGGTGTGAGTTTTTCTACCTTATATTCATGGTCATGCATTCAAGTTTTGCCCATCTTTTTGTGTAACTTTTTTAAAAAAAATAAAAAACATTGCCATGAATCACACAAGATCATGATAAAGAAAACATGATGCTATCTACAGGTATAAAAAATATGGAAATAGAAGAAATAGAAATTGAAAGACATGTATAAAAAAAAAGATAAAAAAAATGGAGGTTGGAAGTTAGTTTTACCTTCTGAATGTCCATCTTATCAGCTTAGATGGCATAGTTGCCATTCAAGTATTTCTTAATGACTTAATATTCTCATTTCCGTGCTGTGAGTTTTCAAAGGTTGTATATTTTTTTCTCGCTACCTTTGTTCCTTTGATTGAATAAAAAAATATATCATTGATATGGATTGTAACCTTTGTTCCTTTGATTGAATAAAAAAATATATCATTGATATGGATTGTATTATCCAGACAAACCTCTATCTTGTTAAGCTGCTCTAATCAAAACTACCATTTCCCTGTTTGGCTGCAATAGGGATTTTGTTTATTACAAGTGTTTTAACATTTTTGGGAGTGAATTTGATTAGCTGATTTGTTGTGCCTTAGCATTATTATTTATTTTATTTTTTTGAAATTTATGTATGATTTAATAATGTGATTGTACCTGTATAGTGATGATCATCCAGGTATGGGTATGCATGAATCTAATTATTTGGAGAATTTATTTATTCGAATGAAGTAGTGTTTTTCTTGTTAGGCACTTATAGCTCAACGAAGAGTAATATTAGACGGTATCAATTAGTGATACTAATGAAAATACATTAATTCCCCTAATTGATTTATGTTAGTTAAACAATTTGTATTTTAAAATGAGTGTGGTAATTTAATTATTTTTCAGCGTACACAATTGTAGTAACATTGTTTTATCATAAAATTGTTATAATTTGATGTACTTCTTCGATTATGCAGCTATTAATGAAAACAAATGCAATGTATTATTTGAAAAGGCTCAGTTAATATATATATATTTTTTAATTTAAAAACATGTAATGTTTGTTGCAACAATTTCGGTGAACATTTTTCATATTAAAGAATCAATATTTTAGTGATAGTTCTTATGACGGATGGTGTGAGGTAACCATGTTTTTCATCATAATGAAGACAATTTCTTGGAATAGTTCGTACAAATTTAAGAAACTTTTACATTTTTCATTTCCAATTTAGTTCGTTGTAATAGAACAATATGATTTTCTATCTCATTATAATTTGTCTGTTACAACTTCTCAAATGATAGTAGCACCCGTTGTTTTTCTACTTTGTTGTCCAGCGTTATAGTTATTGTTATGTTCTTTGTTAATTATTTTTAACTTTCAAGTGTTAGAGAATATGGGTTTTAAGTTTTTCATATTTTTACTTATGTGTGTTTAGTTACACTATTTTCTATTTTTCTTTTTGTTAATGCCTATAATAACCTTGTTATGTTATTGTCTTGTTTTTTTCTTTTCAATAACCACAATGAGTTGTATTTTTCCTCTTATAAGTATTTAACTATTAGAATCTCTTTTATGTTTTTCATTGTTGAACAGATAAAGCGGACCAATTCTTCAATTTGGAGTATGGTTGGCTGGCTAGGAGAATTGCTCCCCTAATTCATATAGTGTGTGAAATGAATATGATAATTTTGTTAAGAAAAAAAAAAAAAAAATCTTGTGAGTATTATCTATTAAACCATAGAGGGTCTTTTTTTTTGGTGAAACTTTTCTTTTTGGGCCTTTTTTTTAAGATAAAGGACATCTCAATTAATCTAACTTCAAAAGGCCTTGAGAAGAGGCATATGACTCAATAAGGACATATCATAATTTCTCCTTTTTTTTTTGGACAGTATTGTCCTTCCATGTATATATATATCATATATTTGAAAATATGATCTCATAGATTTGAATCAGTGAAGACGGTCTCGAAATCTAAATATCTCGCCAGAAACGATTTCGCTGTTGATCAACAATAGACTATCTCGCCAACAACGATCTCACCGAATTTGCCACATGTTCTCCGACAATCTCGAAATGTTGATCGAGTTTTAGAGGTTTTGCTTAGATCACGTGTTTGATTATTGTTCAAGTTCGATCAGGTATGTTGATTTGTTGATTATTTATTTTTTGTTTGTTTGTTTTTGTTTTTGATTTATTTTTATTGTGTATGATTTGATTTTGTTTGATAGAATGAGAGAAAAATTTTACTCTAATACTATGTGCTCTATTTTTGTTTGCTAGAATGAGAGTAAAATTTTATTATTGTATTATGTGCTATGTTTTTTTTTTGTTTTGTTTTATAACACCAGAGGAAAATTTTACTCTAGTGTTATGTGCTTTGTTTTTGTTTGATAAAATGAGAGTAAAATTTTACTCTGGTGTTATGTGCTCTGTTTTTGTTTGATAAAATGAGAGTAAAATTTTACTATAGTGTTATGTGCTCTGTTTTTGTTTAATAAAATGAGAATAAAATTTTACTCTAACCTTGTGTGCTATTTTTGTTTGATAGAATGACAGTAAAATTTTACTCTAAGCCTCCGTTTGGGAAGTGGGTTGATTTTTTGACTTTTTAGCTTTTTTGGCTATTTTAGCCTGGGCTAAAAAGTTTGGTTTGGGAAGGGCTTTTTGACTTTTTTGACTTTTTTTGTGAGAGAAGAGTGTAATGATTATGGGTTGGATATGATGTTTTGTTTGTTGTGGCTAAAATAGCCTATTTTGTCTTTTGTGGCTATTTTAGCCCCAAAATCACTTGCCAAATGAAACAGAGTGAAGGGAGAGAAATGGTTCAATCGTTTCATATATGTCCATTTATATGGAAGGATATTTTAATCTTTTAATCATATTTTTTTAATTTGTGAGAATTTTGGGACTATTATTTTATTCTGTGGACTCACACAAAAGGCCCAATAGGAGGGGCTTTTACTAAAAATCCCAACCATATAAGACATAAGTGGCTTTATTTTTACATAATGAATATGATTTTTCACCACCAAGGGGCCATCCTAATTGGTAAGAGAGTTTGTTCTTCTCCTTACTGACCAAGCCAAACTGGGGAAAGCGCTTTATTGGGCGCTCATTAGCGTGCTTTGCACGCAGCCCTTTCACTAGTTGTAGATAATTATAAAACAATATTAGATGGGCACACAATTATTTATATTGGGTTTGGATTACGGATTTGGATAGGAGTTTAGAAAGGCAAATGAAAATGAAGAAAAAATTGATTTATATTTCATGTGTTTTCCTTTATATTTTTCTTTTTTCTTTTTCTTTTTTGTCAAATTTCTCTCCAAATTTATAATTCAAATACAATCTTAGGTAGTGTTTGGTGTAATAACCTAACTCTTTTATATGCTTTCAGTCTTTAACTATATGTGTGTGGTTACATGTTTGATGTGAAATTTCATGTGCCATTGTGTTTAATTGTGTGAATTATATGATTATGAAATTATATCTGTAGATTATAAGAAAATTTGTCGAAATTACAACCTTTGGACTGTAAATTGAAAGTCCTAGAGGCGCGATAAACCGAAATTGACTTTACAGTTATGATTAGCATGATTTTTAGAATATAATATGAAATTTTGTAAAAATTTGATTCGTAATCAATTAATTGGAATTATTTAGGTTCAAGTCTTAATTAAACTTAACTAGCAAGCCTTGATAGATATAAGGGTCATATATATGAACCTTAGATGACTTAGTCTCAACACAATACTAAAAATATCTCTTGGGAGCTGGGGCGGAGCCAGAAGATTAAGTTAGAGGAGGCATTATTAATTATGATTTTTTATTTTAAAAAAATTATAATCAACATTAAGATAATAATAATTTTATGAGCAAAATTTAACCATAAAAAATTACATATTCATTATTAATAGGAACAAATTAAAATTCTATAATAATGTAGAATAGTTCGGTGCGGGATAGTAATGTAAGTTTGTAATTTTAGCACAAAAAATTATGGATCAAAATTCCAATTTTAAAAAATAAAAACACATCCTTATAACACAAATTATTATAAAATCTATTTAATTTTTATTTGACAGAAATTTATTAAAGAGATGACAGTGCTTATAAATGATATGTTTTGAAGGAAAATTATTAAACAAAAGCATTGCCTACGTGATACTCAAAACATGTGAAATCACAAATCACATTAAGTAGTCTGTCAACTGCCTAGAAATAATAAGTTCATTATATCCAATATATAAGATTTTTCGATATACTATTGATTTAAACTATTACATAAATAATATCACATAGTGTTCTAAAAATATCAAATAACTATTTATTGTGAACAATACAATAAACCCTTAGCCAAAAAATATACATTTTGTATATGACAACAATACACAAATATATATATATATATATATATCAAAACTGAGGGGGGCACGTGACCCCCCTCGGCCTGCTTTCCCTCCATCATTGCCTGGGAGAGTTCTAGAGAAAGGAAATGAGAGAAAAGAGAGAAATGAAGAGGAGATTAACTAAGGGCTTGGAGATTGAAGATTTTGGAAGGGGATTTAAAGAATAGAGTTCAAGATATGTGTAAATTAACTAAAATATCCTAAATCTCTCTCTCCAATTTATTAGCATCAAGCTTTAAAAATGAAGTTTTCCCCTTATCTAACTTAGGGTTTTGAAATAATCATTTTACTTGAGTGAATATCCATAGAAGTCATAAAATTCATTGTTTTTATTTGATTTGAGAGTAGATTCTTGTATTTTAAGTTGTCTTGAGTTAGCTTGAGAAGAATACCCTCCTAAATCTTAGTTTTTGCATGCTTTGAGCTCATATATGTGTATATATATTTGTATCTATTTT